GAGGACTGGGACAACAGAAGCGTTTGTCCCCCCAGTCGGTGACACTCATTTCAAAAGAACGGGCCTTTATTTGGCCCCTCCGGCTCTGACGTTGTAGCATGTCTGCATTCAGCACAATCATGGCGCAGCGCTCAAACACTGAAGTATGACTGAAAATATCAGTGACAGGAAGTGAAAGTTGAATGCAGCAGAGCGTGGTGCGATTACGGCGCAGTGTCCTGCTGGGGGGTTACTCATTTACAGCTTGTTTTGCTGTGGTGAAATAAGACTCTTCCAGCAGCGAGGCTCTCCACCCTCTCACTCCGCTGGCCTGCTTTTACCACAAAGTCACATTCGGTCTCATTTTTATAACTTCCTTCCTCTCCTTAAAGGAGAACTGTTGAGATATGGGCCTTGGCTCGCAGAGGGCTGTTTATTCTGATCAGATATAAGATTATGACCTCTGACCAGTTAGGTTTAGAAACATGGAGTAATGTATTCTTAATGTTCCCGCTGTGCCTCTTCTGTAATTCAATCTGCTTCCACTTTATTTACCAGTCATTGCTATAATTACTATAATTAACTGAAGTTTAAAGCTGCCTTTCCTTTTTTTTTTTTCCCCCTCCTGTGAGACTTTGGGTTTTTTCTCCTATCATGCATATTTTCACCGTTTTAAAAACTCTTCAAATTTTCAAAATAATACTAGGCTATTAGCTGATCGAATCACTGCACAATTCTACCACTTTTCCTACTGTTGGTATTGATGGTACTTCTACTCATCTTGTGATTGAACCACGGCGTAATGAGTGATCGTGCTCACTACCCGATCCGGCTACGAAGCACGATCCGTTCTGCGCATGCGCAAAGAGATATTCATCCGGGTGTCCATAAATAATGTAATTATGGTACTAAAACTCCATATTTCTATCCTTAACTCATCCTAAACTACTCACTTCTATCCTTAACTCATCCTAAACTACTCATTTCTATCTTTAACTCATCCTAAACTACATATTTATATCTTTAACTCATCCTAAACTACGTATTTCTATCCTTAACTCATCCTAAACTACGTATTTCTATCCTTAACTCATCCTAAACTACATATTTCTATCCTTAACTCATCCTAAACTACTTATTTCTATCCTTAACTCATCCTAAACTACTTATTTCTATCCTTAACTCATCCTAAACTACTTATTTCTATCATTAACTCATCCTAAACTACTTATTTCTATCCATAACTCATCCTAAACTACTTATTTCTATCCTTAACTCATCCTAAACTACATATTTCTATCCTTAACTCATCCTAAACTACATATTTCTATCCTTAACTCATCCTAAACTACATATTTCTATCCTTAACTCATCCTAAACTACTTATTTCTATCCTTAACTCATCCTAAACTACTTATTTCTATCCTTAACTCATCCTAAACTACATATTTCTATCTTTAACTCATCCTAAACTACATATTTCTATCTTTAACTCATCCTAAACTACTTATTTCTATCCATAACTCATCCTAAACTACATATTTCTATCCATAACTCATCCTAAACTACATATTTCTATCCTTAACTCATCCTAAACTACATATTTCTATCCTTAACTCATCCTAAACTACATATTTCTATCCTTAACTCATCCTAAACTACATATTTCTATCCTTAACTCATCCTAAACTACTTATTTCTATCCATAACTCATCCTAAACTACATATTTCTATCCTTAACTCATCCTAAACTACTTATTTCTATCCTTAACTCATCCTAAACTACATATTTCTATCCTTAACTCATCCTAAACTACATATTTCTATCCTTAACTCATCCTAAACTACATATTTCTATCATTAACTCATCCTAAACTACTTATTTCTATCCATAACTCATCCTAAACTACTTATTTCTATCCTTAACTCATCCTAAACTACATATTTCTATCCTTAACTCATCTTAAACTACTTATTTCTATCCTTAACTCATCCTAAACTACATATTTCTATCCTTAACTCATCCTAAACTACTTATTTCTATCCTTAACCCATCCTAAACTACATATTTCTATCCTTAACTCATCCTAAACTACTTATTTCTATCCTTAACTCATCCTAAACTACTTATTTCTATCCTTAACTCATCCTAAACTACTTATTTCTATCCATAACTCATCCTAAACTACTTATTTCTATCCATAACTCATCCTAAACTACTTATTTCTATCCATAACTCATCCTAAACTACTTATTTCTATCCTTAACTCATCCTAAACTACTTCTTTCTATCCTTAACTCATCCTAAACTACATATTTCTATCCTTAACTCATCCTAAACTACTTATTTCTATCCTTAACTCATCCTAAACTACATATTTCTATCTTTAACTCATCCTAAACTACTTATTTCTATCCTTAACTCATCCTAAACTACATATTTCTATCCTTAACTCATCCTAAACTACTTATTTCTATCCTTAACTCATCCTAAACTACATATTTCTATCCTTAACTCATCCTAAACTACATATTTCTATCCTTAACTCATCCTAAACTACTTATTTCTATCCTTAACTCATCCTAAACTACTTATTTCTATCCTTAACTCATCCTAAACTACTTATTTCTATCCATAACTCATCCTAAACTACTTATTTCTATCCATAACTCATCCTAAACTACTTATTTCTATCCATAACTCATCCTAAACTACTTATTTCTATCCATAACTCATCCTAAACTACTTATTTCTATCCTTAACTCATCCTAAACTACATATTTCTATCCTTAACTCATCCTAAACTACATATTTCTATCCTTAACTCATCCTAAACTACTTATTTCTATCCTTAACTCATCCTAAACTACTTATTTCTATCCATAACTCATCCTAAACTACTTATTTCTATCCTTAACTCATCCTAAACTACATATTTCTATCCTTAACTCATCCTAAACTACATATTTCTATCCTTAACTCATCCTAAACTACATATTTCTATCCTTAACTCATCCTAAACTACATATTTCTATCCTTAACTCATCCTAAACTACATATTTCTATCCTTAACTCATCCTAAACTACATATTTCTATCCTTAACTCATCCTAAACTACATATTTCTATCCTTAACTCATCCTAAACTACTTATTTCTATCCTTAACTCATCCTAAACTACATATTTCTATCCTTAACTCATCCTAAACTACATATTTCTATCCTTAACTCATCCTAAACTACTTATTTCTATCCTTAACTCATCCTAAACTACTTATTTCTATCCTTAACTCATCCTAAACTACTTATTTCTATCCATAACTCATCCTAAACTACTTATTTCTATCCATAACTCATCCTAAACTACTTATTTCTATCCATAACTCATCCTAAACTACTTATTTCTATCCATAACTCATCCTAAACTACTTATTTCTATCCTTAACTCATCCTAAACTACATATTTCTATCCTTAACTCATCCTAAACTACATATTTCTATCCTTAACTCATCCTAAACTACTTATTTCTATCCTTAACTCATCCTAAACTACTTATTTCTATCCATAACTCATCCTAAACTACTTATTTCTATCCTTAACTCATCCTAAACTACATATTTCTATCCTTAACTCATCCTAAACTACATATTTCTATCCTTAACTCATCCTAAACTACATATTTCTATCCTTAACTCATCCTAAACTACATATTTCTATCCTTAACTCATCCTAAACTACTTATTTCTATCCTTAACTCACTAAAGAATGCTAATACACATCTTCAAAAAATGTTTTAGGACTTTAGTGAGACAATTTTGATGCTTTTAACATTTTCTTCGTTAAACAGCTTCTCTGACGTCATCATGGGAAATGCTCAGAGCAGTCCGGCTAAATCGGATTAAACCATGTTTAGCTGCATTTTAGTTTTTTCTTTCTTCAGATTCCGCACTATATAGCATAAGGTTAAAACGAAACGAAAACGTAAAACTCAAAAAGACTAGATTTGTTTAAATCCAAAGTCTAAAAAGTTAACCACCAGAAATGGCGTAGGATCCCATTTCCGGTGCAGATTGGCCAGAGACGACAGATAAAACAGGATTTAAATGCATTTATTTTCTCATGAAATACATTATCAACCTTTAACACATTATATTTTAGTACGCTTACTATTTTGGGGGAGGGAAAAACGTAATTTAGGTCTTTTTTACAAAATAAAATTGAGGGCGACCAGGATGTATATCTGGATGCGCAAATGAGCTGACCAGATGAAGCTACTATGAGAAGAAGCAGAGAGAGCAGAACGTTAGAGATTGAACTAACAGATTCTGCAGAATAGGAGAATAGAGATAGAATGATGAAAAAGGGGTCCCTATGTCCTCCAGCAGTCTAAGCCTATAGCAGCATAACTGTAGAGATGGCTCAGGATAACCTTAGCCACTCTAAGCTTTATCAAAAAGGAAAGTTTTAAGCCTACCATTAACCCATCACTACCTTCTATCATACCAATGCACACAGCAACATGAATCTGATCGCCTATCTAATAGAAATTGAATGCAAAAAAATAAAAAAAAAATGAACTGACCCGTTTTGTGTGTGTGAATGAAGAAGTGTTCAGAAAAACTTCAATTTTTTTCCTTAAATTTTAATTTAAAGAAAAAATCTAAATGGCCTCTCGAGCTTTCCAGTTTAACGTTTTTGGCCACATGTCAAAAAGTTTGGATTACGACAATAGGGGGCTTGCCGGTGGCCCAGGGGTTTAGGGTGACCCGTGTACGGTGGCTTTGGTCACAGGTTCCAGTCCCAGCCTGGTGAACTTTGCCCCTTGAGTCCCCCTTTCTCTACTCCCATTTCCTTTCTGCCTACTCTCAGAAATAACAAAAATAAAGGCCAATAGAGCCTAAAATATTAACTTAAAAAAATAAGGTTACTGCTATAGAGAGTAAACAGAGATTCTTTCTTTGTGATTTTTAAATAAGACACCTTCTTCTGTTTAATTTGTTTTGTTCCATTTATTTTACAGTGATGTTTACACTGACTGAGGTTGCATCCCTGAACGACATCCAGCCAACATACCGCATCTTAAAGCCATGGTGGGACGTCTTTATGGACTACCTGGGCCTGGTCATGCTCATGCTGGCCATATTCGCAATGACCATGCAGATCACCAAGGACCACGTCGCGTGCCTTCCTTATCCAGAGGAAGCGGGCGAAGCTTCAGGAACTGATAATCCACAGTGCACCACCCTAAAAGCTTCCTCACCAACAGCCACCGGAGCCCCTACTACCACTAGCATGCCTTTGGTCACTACAGGGAAGTCGAACAAAGCAGTCACCGGCGTCCTGCCAACAGATCGGCCTACGGCAGCACAGAAAACTTTCCCTCAATATGAACCAAGAGGGATTAAAACCAACCTGGACTTTCAACAGTATGTCTTTATCAACCAAATGTGTTACCATGTTGCCTTGCCCTGGTATTCCAAGTACTTTCCGTACCTCACCCTCATCCACACCCTCATCCTCATGGTCAGTAGCAATTTCTGGTTCAAGTACCCCAAAACCAGTTCAAAGATTGAGCATTTTGTATCTATTTTGGGACGTTGTTTTGAGTCTCCTTGGACGACAAAAGCGTTGTCCGAAACGGCTTGTGAGGACTCTGAGAACAAACAGAGGCTGACAGGCAGCTCCTCGGGCCCCAAACAGGTGTCTTTAGAGGGGAAGGAGGAAGGCGCCGATGCCAACCAATCCACACCGATGCTTGGGGTGAAATTCTCTGCGGATAAGCCCCTTGCAGAGGTCCCAAGCAGCATGACAATCTTGGATAAAAAGGACGGAGAACAGGCCAAAGCCTTGTTTGAGAAGGTGAGAAAGTTCAGGGCCCACGTAGAGGACAGCGACTTTATCTACAAGCTCTATGTAGCCCAAACATCTGTCAAAACTGTAAAGTTTATCCTGATCTTGTCCTACACTTCCACATTCCTGGCTAAAATCTCCTTTAAGCATTGTTGCGAGCCTGACATGGAGCAGCTTATAGGCTATAAGAGATTCTACTGCACACACAACATGGCTTTCATGCTGAAGAAGCTGCTCATTACCTACATGGCATTGATCCTCATCTATGGGATAACGTGCCTCTACTCGTTGTTTTGGGTGTTCCGGCGACCTCTAAAAGAGTATTCCTTCGAGAAGGTAAGGGAGGAGAGCAGCTTTAGCGACATCCCTGATGTCAAGAACGACTTTGCGTTCCTCTTGCACATGGTAGACCAGTACGATCAACTTTACTCCAAACGCTTCGGTATCTTCTTATCCGAAGTCAGCGAGAACAAGCTGAGGGAGATCAGCCTCAATCATGAGTGGACCTTTGAGAAATTAAAGCAGCATGTCACGCGCAACGCACACGACCAGCAGGAGCTGCACCTCTTCATGTTGTCCGGTCTCCCAAATGCGGTGTTTGACCTGACGGACTTGGAGGTGCTGAAGCTGGAGCTGATTCCCGAGGTCAGGTTCTCTGCGAAGGTTTCCCAGATGACCAGTATGCAAGAGCTGCACCTGTGCCACTGCCCAGCCAAGGTGGAGCAGACAGGTTTTGCCTTCCTGCGGGATCACCTGCGCCGCCTGCACGTGAAATTCACAGATGTCGCAGAGATCCCGCCGTGGGTCTATCTGCTGCGGAGCCTGAGGGAGCTTTACCTCATCGGGAACTTGAACTCTGAGAACAACAAAATGATCGGCCTGGAGTCCATGAGAGATCTGAGGCATTTGAAGACATTGTGCCTGACGAGCAACCTCACCAAGATCCCAACCAACATCACGGAGCTGTCTCCGCATCTGCTTCGGTTAGAGGTGCACAACGACGGGACCAAACTGCTGGTCCTGAACAGCCTGAAGAAAATGACGAGCCTCATCGAACTGGAGCTGCACAACTGCGAACTGGAAAGGATCCCTCACGCCATCTTCAGCCTCACCAACTTGCAGGAACTTGACTTGAAGTTGAACAACATCAGAACTATAGAGGAGATCATCAGCTTCCAGCACCTCAAGAGGCTGACATGCCTGAAACTCTGGCACAACAAAATCCTCACTATCCCCGCGTCCATTGGTCACGTCAAATCTCTGGAAGCTCTCCACCTTTCTCACAATAAACTGGAGTCCCTTCCTTCAGCCTTGTTTACTCTTCATAAACTGCGACACTTGGATGTGGGCCATAACTCCATCACAGTGCTTCCACCAGACGTGGGTCTTCTCAACAACCTCCAGCATCTGGCCATTAACTCGAATAAGCTTGAAGCCCTGCCCAAACCTCTCTTCAGATGCACCAAGCTGAAGGTACTCTGCCTGGGCCACAACGCGCTCATCACCCTACCGGAGTCCGTGGGTCAGCTGGTGCAGCTCACGCAGCTAGAGCTCAGAGGAAACTGCCTGGACAGACTGCCCGCCCAGTTAGGAAACTGCCGACTGCTGCGTAAAAACGGCCTCATTGTGGAGGACCATCTTTTTGACACCCTGCCTGTGGAGGTCAAAGAGAGCATTAGCAGAGAAACAAACGTCTCCTTCGGTGGCTTATAGACCGTCTGAAAGGAACGGGAATGAAAAAACGTAATTATCGTGTTATTTACTAAATTGAATGCATTCACGTGAGCATTTCAGATTATGTTATCGGTTGCTAACATTACTATAGCTTTAAAGATGCGTTTTAATTTTTGGGGCGTTTTTTTTGTTTTTGTTTGTAGGTTTGTGCAGCGCCTCGCAAAAATATTCAAATCTGATGTGGTAGACGGACACAACCTGTGAACAACTTTTTAGTAATAAAAAATGTTTTGGTTATTTTTTAAATTTTCTGAAATATAAATCTTAAACCTAATTCAATCCCTAGAGACAAAATTTATGTTTGTTCTTTGCTTAAGAGCTCAAGTTAACATCTTCCAGAGACGGGTTTTCAGGTTATGCTCCGGTTACTTGTAAAAGTGTGAATTGACAAGAATTTCAGTACAGTTCAGTTTATCCCCATTCAGTAACAAAGATGATTTATTATTAGTGTTGCACAGACACCGATACCAGTATCAGGTGGGGCCCCAATCCAGCACTAAAATGGTGGTATCGGCGAGTACCAACCAATAGGGCACAGATACCATTTTGAGAGCTAGAAGTTTCTTCAACTATTGTCACCCATTCCAGGTAGGCAATAAAAAGTTCTACTGGATTCACTTTGTTTTAGTCTGTTTCCTGCTTCACAAAGGTAGGCAGCCGCTTGATAATGGCAATTATTTTACATCCAAGTAGTCTGCAGTTCTTCATATATACACACACATCAATTTCAAACAGATGGTATCGTCCGATACTGCACAGCCAGGTATCAGAGCCAAAAAATGGTACCGGTGCAACATTATCGTATAGGTCAGGGGTCTCAAACCGGTTCCAGAAAGGGCCGTGTGGCTGCAGGTTTCCTTTCCAACCAAGCAATAGCACACCAGACTCCAGTCATCTCATCAACTGAGTGCAATCTGAACATGATGACTTGATGAGATGACTGGAGTGTGGTGTGCTATTGCTTGGTTGGAAAGGAAACCTGCAGCCACATGGCCCTTTCTGGAACCGGTTTGAGACCCCTGGTATAGGTCAAGAAAACCCAACAACCTGACAAGATCTTGGTACTGATCTGTGGCTGCTTGGAGGTGCGCTGCCACCTAGTGGTTGGAGGTTACTGTAGGTTAAAGAGGTATATAAAAGTAGAACAATGACAGAAAAATCCAATAAAATATTTCAATATTTGTCAGGTTTTTTTTTTATATTTTACACTCCTAGTTATTATGTTTAAGGTATTTTCCTGCCTGTAGGAGGAAAATACAGACAGGAGTGCTTGCCCACTTCAAACAAGATAATGCCGATGTTTTTTTTTTTTTTTCTCCTTCCTATCTATAAGCAAATTTTAATCCAGCTATTAGCTTAATTTAAGATTTATTTAATTAGTCATATGACCCAGGATGCTGTTTTACGGCAGTTGGAGCCAATTAAGCTAATGATGTAGCTTGTTAGCAAAGCAGACATGACTCTTATCTATACAATATATGCAATGCAAAAAGTAAATCAATAATAGAAGTATTGAATTAATGTATTTAGACTTGATTAGAGTAAGTAAAACAAGTAATTTCCTGCATCTTCTTTCAAGTGCAGTATATATAATTTCCTTACTTTAAGGGACAGAATACGAAGTCCTTTGGCAGATGATGTAACTGTCGACTTTAATTCAGAGGGGTAGATTATTTTTGGTCTTTCCCAGTAATTCCATGGCTGAATCCCAAACCGCCCCCTAAGCTCTAATCAAGTGTCACTCCCAATATAGTCTCACATTGCAACATTTGCCCCTTTCTTAGAACAAATGGAAGTTAAACAATTTCACAATTTCTGTTTTGGAATTAAGTTTTTTCATATAACTTGTGATTTCCGTCATTGTGACAAAGTTGCAGAAAACAAGCGGAACTTGCATTTGGAAGAATGTGTTTCCTCCGTCATTAGGTTGAAGTATCGTAGGATCCCATTTCCTGTAGAGATCGGTAACAGACGAGTGATAAAACGGGATTTAAATGCATTTATTTTCTCAAGAGATACATTACAGACCTTTAACACATTTTAGTCGCTTACTATTTTAATGGAGGAAAAAAATAAATTTAGGTCTTTTTTTTTTTTTTTTTACAAACTGAAATCAAAGGCGACCCGGATGTATATCAGGTAGCTTAGATGAGCAGATTACGGATCCTGCTTCCGCCACAGATCGGGTGGTGACATCGCTACCTGATGGCAAAAAAATTACAAAGAGGCAGCCACCGAGGAGGCGGAGTCACGTGACCAATAGGGTGCAAAATGTAGTTAACTGATCAGTTAACTGAGTTCACTATAAAGTCTACTATATAGTCCCCGCCTATATAGTGATGGAGGGGTTTAGGGCGGACGTTCAGACGTTTCACCTGCCCTATCCACTACATGGTTTGGGTTTGCCCTAAATGTGGCAGACCCTCTGCGGGAACACTCAGAGGGTTTGTTCTCAGGGTTAGGGATTAGCGGCCGGTTTGGGATGGGGTCCATGACTTCTCAATCTGCGGGTCCAACGTGGTCAGCTAGCAGATCGCTAATCACAGAAGATGACTGGTTCACTGAGCTACAGTGCACTGGCATAGAAATTAGCTTTAAGGGATACCAGACCTGAAAGTTACAGCTTTAGTGCCTTTAGTGGCTCAAATTCGCACCGCGTTTTATGCTGAGTGGTTGAGCATTTCACCAGTTATGCTCTACAGCAATTCCCCGTAAACCTTTAACCGGTCTGTGTATGACTTGGTTAAAGTGCCTTGAGATGACGCGTGTAGTGAATTGGTGCTGTATTAATAAACTGAATTGCATTGAGTCTTAATAACATTTTGTTCCATTACTGCTGCAAAAACATATTTAGTGTATTCAATTTGAAAAAAAAAAAAATGCAATACAGAATTAAGAATAAAAGTTTTTTGGTTTTTTTAAAGGGCTTTCAGTCTGTTTTTTCATATTTTACCTTTTTTACATTTTTTTGGTTAAATCTTTTTTTTATTTACATATTTATGAGTTTTATTTATTACATTCTTTTTATATTATATTTCAAAGATCAATACTTCAATACAAAAACACGCATTAAACCATGAAGACCAATAAAAATGTGTCTCCACCCCCAGATCAACGCCCGCCCCAAGAAGTGGACGTCTGGAAAAGGCAATTTAAACAATAAAGAAAAAAATCTGAAAATATACAAAATTAATAAAAAATTATTATCAGAATACACAGTTACTCTGAAAATCTTTTTGATAAAATGTTTTTTTAATTAGTTTTAATTCTGAATTGCATTTTTTTTCTCCCCAAAAGATTTGTTTACTAAACATGTTCTTTGCAACAATAATGGAACAGAATTCACTCCGCAAATGGTAATATTTACTTTTTTCTTTTTTTCAATTAAGTAATTATAAAAGTCAAATCTTTGCTCAAATGTAAAAAACTGACAAATAATTTGAATGAACGACTCATTAGAAATGGCTGAAAAATAACCTACCGGCATAAAGATATAAATACATCACATTTAAAAATATCTTGATATAAAACAATATGAAAAAAATCTTAATACATTTCTCAGCCCTATGATGATGATGCTAGATTGTTTAAAGGGTGTGAATAATTTTGCAAGGCGCTGTATATGTCTCTACGTTTGTTTTTTTTATTATATTTTTGTCTATCAGATAAAACTAATGTAGCTTTTATTTTCTTTAAACCAAAGCAGTTATAAAATTCTGTTTTCTTGTGTTTCTTAGTCTCTTTAGGTACTCAGGTATAATTGTAACCATGGAAACAGTCATTTTTGCCTTAACTGCTGCTACATTTTTTTCCACAAACAGAAGACCAAAAATGAGAGCGAATGTTTGTTTTTTTTTTCTTGTCTTTAGAGTGCTTTAATGGAGCTATTTTTTTTTTTTTATGTTGTAGAACTAAAAGAAAAAACTGCCCTCATCTCTTGGTAGTTTTTAAACCTGCTTCTATTTTTCCATAATGCGTAATCCTGTAGCTGACAAAAAAAAAGACGTTAGAGTTTTGAAACTCGGCACCAGAAATCTACCTTTTACCTCACTGTAGTTGAGATTGTACCTAAAAGCGTTATGATGTTCCACCTTGTGAATGTTGCTTACCGACGGCCTGTGTAGAGACCGATTAAAGGGAAACGTGTCGGCTGTAAATTTCAAAATCTGGTTTTTAAAATATTTTAGCATCTGCTGATGATGTCTGCCTTCATTCTTTACATGTACCTCTTCGTAACCCTTTAAGTGTTCTTCAGAGCTCGCGTATCTCTTTAGTCATGTTCCATGTTTGCATTTTAATTGGGCAATAAAGGAAATAAAATCTACACTTCCTGAGTGTTATTTATTATGAGTAGCGTCAGTTTATTCCTCATATGTACAGAAAAACCACTATGACTCCTAAACAAGTTTTTGTCACTGGATAAACTTTATCACAAAGTAAATCATTGTATAAAAGTGTATTGTTGCTGCATTTAGGTTAATAGATCAGTACAAGTTGCTTTCTCTGAGCGGGGGGATTAGGCAATAATAGGCAGTTTTTAAGTTCCTGGGGGCCCCATAAAACTCTATTTCCATGTATGGTTAAAACTATTCCTTATTTGTGCACATTGATTATGTTTTTGATAGAAATCCTTTTGCTAAAATGCCTTCAGAACGCTTAAAGTATTAAGTGTGTCTCAGCCCCCCACTGGTCTTCCGCTATATTTAGCCACTTTTCAGACCCCTCTAGCACTTTGATTTCTAAAAAGCTCCTAGCGCCAAATCTAGAGACTTTTTTCTGCTACTGGAGACTTTGGAGACAACATCTAAAAGCAGCGAACTCTGCTCTCCAGAGCGAGTAGATTGGTAACCCCGCCTCCTGCTCTCCTCTATCTTGTCTGCTGTCATGATTCATGCAGCTATTATTTCATCCAAATGAAAAATGGAGAACAGAGAAGCAGATCATGGCTTGTCTACAGTGAAAAGAAGGACTGGGTTATTTACTTTGGCCTTTTTGGAAACAAGGAAGGAGCAATCAGCTAAGTGAGCTTAGTGCTTGGAAAAAATCTTTCATTCCTTTAGAGACAGCATGAAAAGTCAGCTGAGTACAAAACATAGAGAGGAAAACAAGAAGAAAAGGGACAAGAAGAGAGGGACACAACCTAGAACAGATAATGGATGTCTATTCTATTAACATTTCTATATCTGGAGAATTGGGCTGTTTATGTCTTCTCCATTCAGAGGAGCCCCTGCCTGTCTCTGCCTAGGGCCCCACATTTCCTAAATCCACCCCTGTCTCTGAACAACTGGGAAATTTTTGTTTTATTAGATGAAAAATGAGTGTCAGTTTTCCTGATTTATCCATCAGGACCTTTTTTTCCTGCTAATGGTCTATTTCCTGTACATGCTACAGACATTAGGGTCGTTATTTCAGCGTTGCTTGGAGATGGAGAAAATATATTAAAAACAAACGATCTGATTGGGCAAAAACTGACTTTATGGCCTCAGCTCTAAAGGAGAAGTCCAGTCAGCAATAATCAATGGGTCATTATTTATACCTAAAACTAATAGGTCTGCAGTGATTTAATGAATTTAACGTTAATCAGTAAAAAAATTATTTTCATCGTAATCACTGAGTCTGGGAGCGGCCATTTTTGCCCAAATATAGTAGCCCCTCCCTCCTGCCGTCTTCCAGCAGTGACGTCACGGTGCGGTAAGCCTAGCGCCATTCTCCCCGCTTTCCAAGCTAAATCAATGGGAACTACTAGACACATCTGCAATCAACAACAATTATTGAAGATTTCCAGAGGACTTCACCATTGAAATTCACCAGAGCTATAGTGAAACTGACAATGCCCACGTGCATGGCAGCTGGATGCTGGAATACATCGGGTAAAAGTGGAAAAGAGAGTTATTCCACCTTTCTGATTCCTGATCCTCCACGGACGGGTTGGTCGTTGGATCGCCAACTTGAAGAGGGAGGATTTGCCATCGAACTTCTGGCCAGAGAAAAAACCCGTAATATGTAGCCAACATTTGGAAGAAGAATGTTTTCAAGATGACTTGGATAATAGCGCGTTGTGACAAACACCAGATACAGCACTGGGACTTGATCAACAGCCGATACCGCACCGTGACGTCACTAACCAGTAGGTGGCAGTAGTGTTCTTTGACAAACATGGATGCCTCCAGTAAAGCACATTCACATGAAAATTACTCTGAATTAAAAACACTTATTTATTGAAGTAATAATTTAAGATTTAAAGTACTTTAGAAGTTTGAATTCTGAAGCCGACCGGACTTTTCCTCTAAATATAAATTCAACAGATAGATGGATAGACTTTATTTATCCCAAGCTGGGAAATTAGGAAATATCTGTGCAGATTTGTCCAATCAGGCTAAATCCCTCCAGATGACAGCAGCTGGGATTCCTGCAGCAGCATAATGGATCTGGTGAGTCTGAAGGTGGAACAGTAGCATCAGTGTTTCTACAGAGAGATAAACTTTCTGAGAAGGTAATCATTGTGTACCTGTCCTTGAGAATCCCCAGTCTGGACTTCCGGATATCAGTGCATTATTTATTTATTTTGACTGCATAGCATAACGGAGATCAGTGTTGGTTTCTGGAGAAGATTCTCAGTCATCCAGGTCATAGTTATTTCAAAAAAGTTCCAAAATCAATCCTCTGGACTTTGTTTCCAAGTCTGAAGACGTTTCTCTTCCATCCAGGAAGATTTTCCAATTCAAAATGTCAGATATAGCGTTTAGTTCCAGGTTTTATCCAGCAGTCCAACAAAGCCTGGTTTTAGTTTTGAAAACATGCAAATAGAAACGGATGAACGGGTCCCCCCCTTTGGAATGGGGGTCGCACTTTCGTCTGGTTTGGTCTGCCGCGGTTTCCGTAGACTCGTGAACGCGCTTTCAGGAAATCCTATACACTACTGTTTATGCTCTAAAAACATTCTAAATGACTTCGTTTCGGGTAAATTCTGGATGCTACCCACTCAGGACACTTGGAATACATTGGACGAGCAGTATGGAGGAATATTGACACATTTTTTGTGGACTTTTATGGACCTTTCTGCCTCGGGCGCCATAGACCTCCATTATTTGAATGTCAGCAGGCAGCAAGAAGCCTCCCAGATCTCCAGATGCATTTGAGATATGAAAAAAGTACTCCAGAGTGTTGTTCAGCATGGGGGTGAGTAGAAAATGAAGGCTAATCATGTTTTGGGTGTACTATTCCTTTAAGGTTTTTCTTTCTTAACAAAGATGGCTTCCTTCCTCTCAAACCACCTGTCTTCTTTGTCCAAAATCTGAACATTCTGGTCCTCCAAAGAATGTCCTTTGTCCATCAGGTGTAGATGTACCGCAGAGTCTTGTCCAGAGGAGGGCGCTCTTCTGTGTTGGGCCATATATGTGTATATATAGGGGTGTAGCAGTTCACAAAATCCACGGTTGTTCGGTTCACGGTTTCATGGTCACGGTTTTCGGTTCGGTTTGGTATATGTTTATTGTTACACCGAAAAACATTTCCGCATGTTTTGCTGCTTTGAATTTATATATATATATATATATATATATATATATATATATATATATATATATATATATATATACATTTATTTTGTTTTGGAATGACTATGACCTGGATGACTGAGAATGTTCATCATCGTAGCTTCAGGTCAGTTTTCTAACCAGTTTCAACAGCAGCTTCCTCTCCTGGGTGAATGATCTGATAAGAGGATCCTCAGCTCAGATAACAAGGAAGTACAGCTGAACGAACGCACTTTTAAGTGGATTTGGATTATGAAGGCTTCAGATTTATATCTTGCGCTGTCATACTCACTCATTTTCCTGTTTTTAATAAACTAATTTCTAGGTTTCTTTCTTGCATAAAACATTTGATTAATCAATTCAACTGATATACGGTTGCATTATCTGCAATATTCTTTATTTTGAATTGGGTTGAAGTACAAAAGGGCTGGAAATATTGGATAGCCTCCGAAGGTATAACAGCTTTAACAAATATGAAATAAAACAAGCAGATTTATCATATTCTGTACAATTTTTCTACATTAAAACTCATGGTTAAATTGGTCCAAATTCTACTGGGATTGGAGGGAAACCAAGATACTGAAAAACAATTATTTAAAATGGTTCAGATTCTATGTAATAATTCTGATTACAAAAAAAAAACAGTAAATGATTTTAAAAATAGTTGGAAAAACTATAGGAAAATAAATCAAGCAAGAAGAGTAGAAAGCATGTGTGTCAAAGTCGAGGCCTGTTGGCCAAATCCGGTGTTCTGTCAGATGAGCATACACGGTCAGACCAGCATACCCATAGTCAGAACCAGATTATCCATTTAGTTTTGTATGAAAAATAGCCTTTAAACTACCTCAACGGACGTGTATCCCTTTAGTCATGTACAAAAAAACTATTTATTCACTTACTTTTTGGTGTTTTTTTGAAGTGTATGACCTTAAATTGTTTTTCTTTTTTGTAAATGACTAAAGGGATACACGCCATTTGAAGTAGTTTAGTCTATTTTTCGTATGAAACTAAAGGGATAAATGCAAATCTGACATCTTGTGCATATGTATTGACTATAGGTATGCTGGTCTGACAGAACACCGGCCCTAAACTGCAGAAATAAAAATAAAAAGTCAATTTTTCTTGAAATATGTGTATTTTGCCTTATTTTGAGAACATCTGGAAAATGAATAAGATGATTATGTTAAAAATAAGAAACAATAAACAAGTTTATACTTTTTAATTATGTTATTTCAAGTGGAAAGAATCATTTTTTTTAACCTGTAAAGCAAATACAATTATTTAAAAAAAAGGTTGATCTATTTTTTAATTAGTTTTTGCAGTGTAGTGTCAAATTAAACAGGGTGTGTTCAACTCTGCAAAAAAAAAAAAAGTGGGTTATTTGGTTGTTTAAACCAGATAAAATTCAGAAATCAAAACTTTCATTCTTGCAACGGTAACCGGCTTATTAAAAACACAATGATGCCGAAGTGACCGAATGTAAAAGTTAATTTGATGCCTCTATGTTATACAGCACTCTGAAGTTTATAAGAAATTAAAAGAAGACCTGAGAAAAAGAAAACAAGAGACAGTTGTGTATGTCCTATAGTTTAAACAGGTCTTAACTTGTTAAAATGCATCCTATAAATTAATGGGATTATTGTATATATTAATATATTTTGATATTTATTTTTATATCTTAGGTTTTTATTTTTTATTTTTTTATGTGTTGGTTCATTATATTTTATAGTTTATTATGCACCGTGGGGTTGAGAGGACTACAATTTTATCTGTGTTGTATGTTTACCATGTAGCACATTTGACAATAAAGTTGAATATTTTGGGCAGCATTGTTTTCATGGAATGTATCAGAATGATCGTATGGACCAGAAATATGACAGATGAAAGATTGAATAAACTAATAATCACTTACACAATATTAAAAAAAACGTTTTTCGAGTTACATCATTGAAATAAAAAGCTCGATCTGTTGGAAGAGCAGAATGATTCCGGTCCAGTAGGTGGCGGTAAAGCGCCTTCATGGACTTTATTATAACTGTAGAAGGCCGTTGCGGATCAGACGAAGAAGGGTTTGCAGTCTCCCTGTTGGAGCTTTGCTGCCACCTGTCGGTGTATTGAGGCAGTTTGTTTTAAAAACATCACTTAAGGCTTTAGTACAGGCCGCTTTGATACATTTTTACAGAAATAATGAAACGCCACAACAGAAATACGTTTCAATCATCGAGCAGAGGCCGGCCGGCTCCTCTGGGATTAACCACGGCTAAAAGGTGAGCAAACTATCAGCTCTGTTCTTAATGGAGTCAAAGTAGCTAACAGGCTAACATAGCTTAGCTTTATTCTGCAGTAACTATTGGAAAAAATAAATAAATATTCTCACTTGATTTAACTGCTGCGTGTTTGCCACAACAGAAATACGTTTGAATCACTGAGCAGAGGCCGACCAGCTCCTCTGGGATTAACCACGGCTAAAAGGTGAGCAAACTATCAGCTCTGTTCTTAATGCAGTCAAAGTAGCTAACATAGCTTAGCTTTATTCTGCAGTAACTATTGGAAAAAATAAATATTCTCACTTGATTCAACTGCTGCGTGTTTGCTATAAGGCGCAGATTAATCAGTTATCTGAGTTTTTCCTCACAATTACTAATTTTATCCTAACTGTGTAATAAAATCAAAGCCTTAGCTTAGCTCCCTTCCCTGACCTGTTCATAGTTGCTGCTGTTGAGGTCTATTAGCATCACTCATGGGATGGTCCTATTTGTTTACTCTTTCTTTTTTGCAGAGTCCCCCAACAATTTATTGAAGCCATGAAACGCATTTCAGGAACCCCGGAAGTGGCTTCGAAGCCTCAGTTAAAGCAGCCTTCAGGTTTGCACCTTCAGACTCATGTTTACTGACTGGGCAGGAAACAGAAATAATTAATATCCCTTCAGGTGTGTCCAGATGCAGGGGATTTTATTTTAGGACAAAAGACCTATGAGCCGATAGGCCTATTTAAAATACAATAAATAGAGATTCAGTACTTTATTGTCATTTAAACTTCAGTATAATCAGGGTCTTTAACACACAGACATCATCAGTTCTCAGGTGAATATATGTGCAGAATATTTTAGCAATACACTGTGTTTTTTATAGGATTAAAACATAGAATTATTTCCTTTTATAATTTGAATGGTGTTTTTTTTAAATTGTTTATTATTGTGACGGTTTCTTATTGTCAAACACTGGGGTGCCAGTCAGGTTTCTCGCCTGACATATACGATTTTTATTTGTTGTAATGTTTTACTTCTGCAATACAGAAATCACACAAAGGATGTAAACACAATAGTACTTATCACCCTAAACATTAATGTAAAAAATAATAATAATAAAGTTTCTTTCTATAGACTCCAATATACAAGAAAAGAAATGGCAATTAATCAAGGTCAGAATCACAACTTTACTTTAATAATTAATATCTAATAATTAATGTCTAGCCTGGCCCTAATACTAGATTTTTTTTTTTTTAAGAATGAAGTCAAAATCACGAGAATAGTCATTCTAGAGTCTAGTTTATGATTGATTTTTATTATGTTGTTTTTATGTGTTTTTATATGTCTTATTGTATGTGTCTTATTACTTCCTGGTAAAATAAAAGTTAAATAAAATAACATTACGAGAATAAATTCACAACGAGAATAGTAATAAAATTACGAGAATTAAGTCGTTTGGTTCATAAGCTGGTTTAGACTTTTAGCAATATACTGTGTTTTTTAAATGGGGTTAAAACTGAATTCATTCCTTTTATAATTTCAAAGGTTCCTTTTTTTAATTGGAAAAATATTCTTATTGTTAATAAAGTTGGACATCAAATGTAACATTTTAAACTGAAAATCACATTGATTATGTCCCATAACAGCACACATACATTTGAGGAAATTAAAATGACATTTTTAATCAGATTTAAAAATTCTATATTTTAATCTCAATAACTATTCAATGTTTTTATAACTTTGTATGCATTTAATTTCTTTCTCAAATGTGTGTAGTTGGAAGTATTTCACAGCAATACCAAAAATTAAAAGGAGCGACAGGAAAGGATTTCTGAAACCGTTTGTTCAGGTATCTGTATTTTATTTTGTTTTTTTCATTTAGCAAAGGAGGCTGTGGACAAATGGAAACCTGCATTCCAGGCAGTCGATAAGCAGAAAGAGGAGCCTGAAGAGAAAAACCCCAAGGATGCGACCAGGTGAGGGAATGTTGCTCTCTCTGGTGATGGCAGTCTGCTTCTAGAATAGATAGAATTCAACTTTATTATCATTACGCTGTCAAAAGAACAAAGCAACGAGATGAACTCTCTGCATTTAACCCATCCCCAGTGGGCTGCCATTGTGCGGCGCACGGGGAGCAGTTTGGGGTTAAAGGTACACCATGCAACCGGTGTTGATTTTCCAGCGAGGCTCCCCCCAGAGGGCGAAAGTAAAAGTGCACTGTCGTAAATATGCACAGCTGTTCTCCTGGTTTCTCCGTCAAGCCAGGCGCGGTTGTTTTGAGCTTAGCAGACAGGCGAACGCAACGAATGACTAATGCTGCGTTCACACCGCAGCTGGCGCGACAGAAGCAGCGAGTTTACATGCAACGTAACGTCAAGGCGCAGCAAAAGGTCCCGCGGCGCGTTTTGAGCAGCAGGCGCACCACGTCTGAGCAGCTGAAGCAGCGCGTCGGGCTAGATCTGACGCAGGGAGAGAGACACAGCGCTGATGATCTCTCCTCTTAAACAGTTTATTGATGCCTAAATTAACTTAAAATGCAGAAATCTGCCGGCAGAATATGCAGTTTGGATTATTTAGATAAAAAACACCTACCAGCTGCCGCGGTGAACCGCGAGGAGGCAACCCGGCCAGAGGCTGCTGATGAAGGGATCCCTACTGTCGGCGCACCGCTGGTATGTGGGGGTCTGAGCGGCTCCGACAGAAAAAATATTGAAGGCAGGATAATAATCTGGAGGAACTGACTGCACTGATGAAGTTTTAAGGTGTATTTTCTCACTTAAACACATATTAAAACTACTTTATTCCCACTGATCACAGCAAATATAGCTGCAAGGCAGAGAAAGGATAGTGAAGCTCCGCCCAACGCGCGTCAGACACACTTTTGCACCGCGCAGCCAGAGCAGCAAAGCTGCTTCAGCTGCGCGTCAGAACTAACTGGTACAAGCAGCAAAAATGAAGCAGCAGACGTGATTTTGCTGCTTTTGCTGCGTGAACGTAGCATAACTGCACAAAGATCGCCACTGTGCTAGCAACGAGCATGCTTTTAACTGGGGGGTGTAGCAGTTCTCGCCGTAAAGCAAGACTGACTCTCGCGAGACTTCTGAGCCTGTGGGTGCGGGTCGGTGCTCCTGCAATTGCAAGTGCAGTATTTCCCCCACAGACCACCAGGGCGGCCAAGAATACCTTTGTTCAACCTGAAATGACTCATTTAATCATCCAAAACGTTATGGAACACATTAATTAACTGAAAAAATGTTGCATAGTGTGCCTTTAAGGGTCTTTGCTCAGGGACCCAGAGTGGCAGTCTGTGGGAGTGGGGGAACTCAGGATTCCTTGTCAAGACGTGGATCTATAAAGTCTGAGGCTTCATCCAGAGTTTCAAATGGGCTTTCATGGTGTTTTGCAGAGTTTATTTTGGAAAAAAAATTTGGCGAGGCAAATTTTAATTTTTAAAATTTTTTTTTACATTTTTCTTTTTTCCTTTGTTTAATGATCTATAATTCAGACATGATGACATTTAAAATAGGGCTGGGCGATATTGATATATTGATCGATATCGATAATTATTGAAAAGATTTGAAACCATATTTTATGTGCAGCTCTGCCTGGACTTTTTATAATATTGCTAAATGATTTAATTTTAATAAAAAACACAAACACAGACTTCCAATTAAATCTTTATTTAACCAACTTCTTTAACCATAACAGAATTGTTTTAAAGAAAAATAACTTAAGAGACCTGAGTTATGTTATTAAATACTGACAAAGAATAAACTAAAGTGACCAGAAAAGTGACCAAAATAAATATAACGAATATATAAATGGACACCCACTGCCGCCCCCGTTTCCTGCTTTAACCTGAGTTATTACTTTGAAGTTTCTGGCCCCTCAGCATTTTTCTCTCAATTGTTAGAACTACGTGGGAAACTGCCCAGAACTGAACATATATATATATATTTTCCCGAAATTCCCGAAGATTCCTCGGAGGAGAGCCGCGTCGGGGCCTACACAGCTCGTACTCCTGCGGCTGTGAGCGGCTGAGATGATAAAAAAAAAAAGTTGGTTGTGTTATCAGACTGGTTTTCACTGGTTCCCGACACATTTTCCAGATGACTGGTTTGTTTTTTGTCCGACTTGCCATGACCGAAATACTGCCAGACTGCCGAACTACAAAAACCCTTCTTTGGAACAATTTCCTCCGCCTCTCCTTGCTGCACAGCTTCATGTGCTCTGTGTTGTGGTTTGAGAGGGCGGCGCTTTGTGACGGCGTGCCTGGGTCCGCGATTGTGATTGCTTGGGAGGAAGCAGTGACTAGCATAAACCTACATGCTAGGCTACAATGAGAAGGAAGGAAAACTGCGTTTCTTTTTTATCGAACTTTTATCGACCCGCTTTTTTTCTATTGCGCCACACGTCTATCGATCGATATATATCGTTATTGAATTATTGCCCAGCCCTAATTTAAAATAGTTAAACCTGAAAATATTCCTCAATGCCTTACCGGTATACAAATACAATCAATTGTTTTTCCAATTTATAGTTTGGGAGCTGAACTTGCTTTAAATCATGTAAGCCACTCACCGCCACACTGCAAAAATTTAAATCTAGATAAGTCATTTTTTCTTTAAGTGCATTTTTTTCTTGAATTGAGGAGAAGAGTGAGACATTTTGTCGTTGGAACAAGACAATTTAATTTAAAAATAAGAAAAAACTATTGCATTGTCTTATGCCAAGTTGATATTATCTAATTATCTCGTTCCATTGGCAAATAATCTTATTTACCTGCTCAAATTAAGGCTAAATACACTTAATTTAAGACATTTTTACTTATTTCCAGATCATTTTTGCAGTGCAGGCATAACTTTCTGAAGGACTTGTGTGGACCCAATAATCTCCACTTTTTTCCCCCTTTCTGCTCATCTTCTTTAGCCGAAGCTAACAGAGGTCGGGTGCAGCTAACTGTGTTCAGAGCGTTTTGAGTCTGTGTTTTTTTTTCCTCTCTCCCGCTGCTTCCATGTCCCGCCTCTCAGTGTGACATCATCAAATCTGTAGCTTTGAGAATCTAATTCGCGTTCACATTTCACTGACAGTCGCTACATGGAGGAGGAGAGAAACACAGCAGCACTCAGTGAATATTAACCAGCAGCTACTTCGATGTTTTAGTAAAAGTTGGGAGACGGGTTTGTTAAATAATTAGAGATGTCACCGAAAAATCTGTTAGACATGCAGAGCTTTTTAAACTAAAAATGGCAACAGATTGTAAGCTTATCCAAGTTAGTATTATAATGCAAGAATCTTGATGAAACAGTGTAAATGTTCTTCTTTACTTGTTGAAAAAATCTTGGTTTCTCAGAGGACTATGATTCCCAGTTACAGCTTAACTTAATGTTTACTTATTAAACAGACAGGATCAGACTGCAGAGCTTCTACAGATCTAGAAATGTTGTTTCTGGCATCATTATATTAGTAAAGAGGTTCATAAATCTTTTTAAACAGAGAGAAGTAGGGAGAGCTGCAGATTATTTAAAGGCACACTATGCAACATTTTTTCAGTTAATTAATGTGTTCCATAACGTTTTGGATGATTAAATGAGTCATTTCAGGTTGAACAAAGGTTTTCTCGGCCGCCCTGGTGGTCTGTGGGGGAAATACTGCACTTGCAACTGCAGGAGCACCGACCCGCACCCACAGGCTCAGAAGTCTCGTGAGAGTCAGTCTTGCTTTACGGCGAGAACTGCTACACCCCCCAGTTAAAAGCATTCTCGTTGCTAGCACAGTGGCGATCTTTGTGCAGTTATGCTATGTTCACGCAGCAAAAGCAGCAAAATGGCGTCTGCTGCTTCATTTTTGCTGCTTGTACCAGTTAGTTCTGACGCGCGGCTGAAGCAGCTTTGCTGCTCTGGCTGCGCGGTGCAAAAGTGTTACTGACGCGCGTTGGGCGGAGCTTCACTATCCTTTCTCTGCCTTGCAGCTATATTTGCTGTGATCAGTGGGAATAAAGTAGTTTTAATATGTTTTTAAGTGAGAAAATACACCTGAAAACGAAATCATTGCAGTCAGTTCATTCAGATTATCATCCTGCCTTCCAATATTTTTTCTGTCGGAGCTGCTCAGACCCCCACATACCAGCGGTGCGCCGACAGTAGGAATCCCTTCATCAGCAGCCTCTGGCCGGGTCGCCTCCTCGCGGTTCACCGCGGCAGCTGGTAGGTGTTTTTCATCTAAATAATCTGATCTGCAGGCAGCAGGATAATAAAAGCGAACATATTCTGCCGGCAGGTTTCTGCATTTTAAGTTAATTTAGGCGTCAATAAACTGTTTAAGAGGATGGATCATAGCCTCTGATCATCAGCGTTGTGTCTCTCTCCCTGCCAGCTCCCAGATCAGCTTCTCTGATTGGTTGACGCGGCGCGTCGAGCAGCAAAAAATAAATTTTTCCATCTCGAGCAGCAGCGCGTTTGCGGCGCGTCACGCGCGTCAGATGCTTAGTCATTCGTTGCGTTCGCCTGTCTGCTAAGCTCAAAACAACCGCGCCTGGCTTGACGGAGAAACCAGGAGAACAGCTGAGCATATTTCCCCCCCTCTGGGGGGAGCCTCGCTGGAAAATCAACACCGGTTGCATAGTGTACCTTTAAAGGTGAAACAGATTTAATGGGATAAGCAACATGCAATAAAATATATCTCCAAGTTTACCAGAAAGTTTACCAAAAAAATGCAACGCTGTATTTAAAATGCAGCATATCCAATTTTTTCTGGATGGAATTGAAATTGTACTTCTAGGGATGCGTGATATATCAATTTTTCCATTGGAATCGGCTCTTATTAATTATTATTTTCATGCATTAATGTTTTTGGGCCCTATATATGTAATGCACTATAAGGCATCTCAAACATCAAAGTCTTCCTTCTCCCCGTAGGGCCAGCATCTATGACCCCAGCAGCCCTCTGTCGTCAGACTCGGATGCAGAGACGTCGCTGCCTCCAGACCGCCAGCCCCCCCCTCCTCAGGACATCAGCCTGAGATCCCAGCATCTGTCTGCGGACAGAGACAGCAGGCGCTGGGAGGCGTCCAAGGCTGAGGCCACGGGGCCTCGTCTGGAATATTCTAGAGAAGTAGAACTCCCTGGAATTTTTCTGCTAAGTTTGTCAGAACTCGGTTTATTCTTTCAAAATGTAAACGTTGGTCTTTGCGTGTCTCCCTGCAGATGACCTCCACTCTCAGGGCATCGCCACCCAGGTTAAAACGCGACCATCAGCCGCTGGGTTACGTAGAAAGAGGTTCGCTCTCTGCTCCTTGGTTTTAAAGAGTCGGATGTTTAAGTTTTATTGCTTGAATTTCTTTCTTTTATTTGTTTTGTTTAACAGGACCGGATATAGAGGCGCCGACGCCTCCGAAGCTGACGAGAACCAAGGGGGAGAAAGCTCCACTGGACAAGTAAGCTACAAAAAAAATACTTAATGTTTGCATATTTTTACTCGTTTTGCATTTTAAATTGACATTACAAATAACTATTGAAGGTATAGAGGATGATCTTTTATTTCCAGGTGGATCATCTCAATCAGTGGTCCTCCTAACTGTCAATCATTCTGGTGATATGTTTACATAACGCCGTCCTACGAGCTCGTCCCGTTAGCGATCTTTTTCTGCGCACTTTCAGACGTAAATCTGTGGTGAGCTACGGTTTCAGACGGTCATTGAAAATGGCAGAGGGTCATGGAGGCCTGGAAGCAAACCTTAGAGCGCCCCCACCCTTAGAGCGCCCCCACCCTTAGAGCGCCCCCACCCTTAAAGCACCCCCACCCCTAGAACGCACCCACCCCTAGAGAGCCCCCACCCTTAGAGTGCCCCCTCACTTAAAATGCCCCCACCCTTAAAGCGCTCCCCACCCTTAGAGCGCCCCCACCTTTAGAACGCCCCCACCCTTAGAGCGCCCCCACCCCTAGAGAGCCCCCACCCTTAGACCGCCCCCACCCTTAGAGTGCCCCCTCACTTAAAATGCCCCCACCCTTAAAGCGCTCCCCACCCTTAGAGCGCCCCCACCCTTAGAACGCCCCCACCCCTAGAGCGCCCCCACCCTTAGAGCGCCCCCACCCCTAGAGCGCCCCCACCCTTAGAGCGCCCCCACCCCTAGAGCACCCCCACCCTTAGAGCACCCCCACCCCTAGAGCGCCCCCACCCTTAGAGCGCCCCCACCCCTAGAGAGCCCCCACCTTTAGGGCGCCCCCCACCCTTAGAGCGCCCCCACCCCTTAGACCGCCCCTTCCCTTAGAGCGCCCCCTCACTTAGAGCACCCCCACCTTTAGAGCGCCCCCCACCCTTAGAGCACCCCCACCCTTAGAGCGCCCCCACCCCTAGAGAGCCCCCACCTTTAGAGCGCCCCCCACCCTTAGACCGCCCCCCACCCTTAGACCGCCCCCACCCTTAGACCGCCCCCTCACTTAGAGCACCCCCACCTTTAGAGCGCCCCCCACCCTTAGAGCACCCCCACCCTTAGAGCGCCCCCACCCCTAGAGAGCCCCCACCTTTAGAGCGCCCCCCACCCTTAGAGCGCCCCCACCCCTTAGACCGCCCCCTCCCTTAGACCGCCCCCACCCTTAGAGCGCCCCCACCCCTAGAGAGCCCCCACCTTTAGAGCGCCCCCCACCCTTAGAGCACCCCCACCCCTTAGACCGCCCCCTCCCCTAGAGAGCCCCCACCTTTAGAGCGCCCCCACCCTTAGAGCGCCCCCACCCCTAGAGAGCCCCCACCTTTAGAGCGCCCCCACCCCTAGAGAGCCCCCACCCCTTAGACCGCCCCCTCCCTTAGACCGCCCCCACCCTTAAAGCACCCCCAGCCCTAGAACGCACCCACCCCTAGAGAGCCCCCACCCTTAGAGTGCCTCCTCACTTAAAATGCCCCCACCCTCAGAGCGCCCCCACCCTTAAAGCGCTCCCCACCCTTAGAGCGCCCCCTCACTTAAAATGCCCCCACCCTTAGAGCGCCCCCACCCCTAGAGAGCCCCCACCCTTAGAGCACCCCCACCTTTAGAGCGCCCCCACCAACTTTCATCACCAAGTTACACCCTTGAATCCGCTTCCATCAAAGTCTTCCTTCTCCCCGTAGGGCCAGCATCTATGACCCCAGCAGCCCTCTGTCGTCAGACTCGGATGCAGAGACGTCGCTGCCTCCAGACCGCCAGCCCCCCCCTCCTCAGGACATCAGCCTGAGATCCCAGCATCTGTCTGCGGACAGAGACAGCAGGCGCTGGGAGGCGTCCAAGGCTGAGGCCACGGGGCCTCGTCTGGAATATTCTAGAGAAGTAGAACTCCCTGGAATTTTTCTGCTAAGTTTGTCAGAACTCGGTTTATTCTTTCAAAATGTAAACGTTGGTCTTTGCGTGTCTCCCTGCAGATGACCTCCACTCTCAGGGCATCGCCACCCAGGTTAAAACGCGACCATCAGCCGCTGGGTTACGTAGAAAGAGGTTCGCTCTTTGCTCCTTGGTTTAAAAGAGTCGGATGTTTAAGTTTTATTGCTTGAATTTCTTTCTTTTATTTGTTTTGTTTAACAGGACCGGATATAGAGGCGCCGACGCCTCCGAAGCTGACGAGAACCAAGGGGGAGAAAGCTCCACTGGACAAGTAAGCTACAAAAAAAATACTTAATGTTTGTAATTTCACTTTAAAATGCAAAACGAGTAAAAACATGCAAATAACTATTGAAGGTATAGAGGATGATCTTTTACTTCCAGGTGGATCATCTCAATCAGTGGTCCTCCTAACTGTCAATCATTCTGGTGATATGTTTACATAACGCCGTCCTACGAGCTCGTCCCGTTAGCGATCTTTTTCTGTGCACTTTCAGACGTAAATCTGTGGTGAGCTACGGTTTCAGACGGTCATTGAAAATGGCAGAGGGTCATGGAGGCCTGGAAGCAAATCATTATCGCATATTCTGGTCTGATCCAATATTAACTTTCTTGTAGGAGATCTACAATATAATGCAAAATGTGTTTCAGACGGATATTAATTTTGAGTTTCTGTCATTATATTGTAGTTATTTCAGATACTAAGTGCAGCTTCTAGAAAAGCTGTAACAAGGAAGAGGCTAAAACTAGAAAGACCTACAGTGGATAAATGGTTTGACATTATAACATCTTTAATATGAAAAGAATTACTTTTGTTTTAAGACTTAAAAGAGATCTGTTTATGGAAAGATGGGAAAGATTCTATTCAGTTTATTTCTATAGCTCCAATTCGCATCATGTCATCTCAGGTCACTTTCCAGTTCACCAGATCATCCAGTCAGATTGATTCAAAGTTTTCTATCTAAGGAAAACCAGCTGATTGCATCGACTCATTGACTCTTCAGCAATCCCTCACACTAAGCATGCTTGTAGCGACAGTGGAGAGGAAAAACTCCCTTTGAACAGGAAGAAACCTCCAGCAGAACCAGGCTCAGTGTGAGCGGCCATCTGCTGAGGCCCACTGGGGTTCAAGGAGACAGAAGCAGACATAGAAATGAATGATGAAAAAGGGGTCCCTATGTCCTCCAGCAGTCTAAGCCTATAGCAGCAGAACTATAGAAATAGCTCAGGATAACCTGAGCCACTCTAACTATAAATGGAAAAAAAAAAGGAAAGTTTTAAGCCTAGCCTTAAAAGTAGACAGGGACTAAAACTGGTAGTTGGTTTCACTCGAAGGCGTAACTTTCGTGGACATGTCCCCACCAATAATAAACACTGTGATTTTTTTCGCACAATGTACGTTGCTTTTCGGGCCGACTTTCCAGGTGTGCGAGAATTTTTCGATCGGACAGAGTTTCAGCCTGATAGTGTGTGGTGTAGTGAACAGGGGCTAACGAGGGGCGATCAGCCTCTAACGATCACCCCCCCATCAGGAATCAGAAGGTCGGGAGAAAATCAAACATGTTTGAAATTCAGCCGGCTTTAAAAAGTCTTGAATTTAACTTTATGCTGGAGGAACCCTTCCAGAGAAGATGGAAGCATTTCCATTCATTGATAAGATCAGTTGAATTCAGCACCAGACTGATTGCTGTGATACCTTTACCTCCGTCTTCTAGGTGCCCCATCACCTGTGACCTCTGTGACGTCAAGCTGTCCAACGCCCAGGAGCTGGAGGATCATTTGGACAGCAAAGGCCACTGGGATACACTGGAGTACATCCAGCGCAGCAGTAACTATGACGACATGGCCGTGGCCTTCCTACAGGTGGGATGGCATTAGTTTATACCGCTGACGTATTCCAGCATTTCTCATCTCATTAGAAACACATAAAGTCGGGTTAGTTCCAGTCGTCTCCCTCCCAACAGGAAGTCATGGTGTATAAAAGCCAGCACTGCAGCCGAGCCGTAGAGGAAACCGCTTTACCAGGTAGGAACGTCTGACGGATTGAAGCCGTCGGAGGTTAGACTCCTTTGGATCGGCTTTATTTAGAGAGTTTCTGCTGCTCGGTGATCGACCCCCTCTGGTGTTTTCAGGGCTGCAGGAAAACCACCACATGAGCAAAGTTGAAATGCTTTACTGTGCAGCTTGTAAAGTCCATGTGTCCACGTCTGCAGCCGAGGTGCAGGCTCACATCTCCTCCCTGGAACACCTCTCCAACAGCAAGGTAAGCAGGGTATCCCTAGGTCTTTGAACATCATTAACAGTCATTTAATTATTAGTTTTTAATTAAGGCGTGAATTGGGATTAAAGTCGTACGGAAGCGGCTGTTCCAACCGTTGCATTTCCGAATTCTCCTGAGTGGTGCCCGACTTTACACGAATGAATAAAGTGAATGTGATTGGTCGATTATCAAGGGGGCGGGATTGTTGTGTTTCGCAAGCAAGTTTTGGTTGTAGCCGGTTTGTGGGAAGCATCATGCTAACCAGTTAGCATCTTAGTGCTAGCAGGTTCCCAATGGGAAATTCCATTGGGACCAAGTAGCACTAAATTGGTGACTTAGAAACGACGCTGTCAAGGAACGCTATGGACAGCGGAAACATGCAAGAGGAGGAGAGTTTAGTGTCGGAGGTCGTGGATGAGTCTCCTCCGTCATCCATTTTTTATTTAGAGGAGGAAAGCGGGGACGAAGATGTTGTGGAAGAGGACGCCAGGGCGGCAGAAGCTTGGTTTGGTGTAGAAGGCTTCCAGCCGTCCATGTTTGAGCCCTTGCCTCGCAACGCTGCCAGTTCTGTTAGCTCTACGCCTGCTGAATGTTTAAGCCAGAATGATTTGACATTTGAATATGACTTCCCTACAACTTTAAAATGTATTAAATGGGGTTATCGTGGCATTTAAAATGCTTCATTTGGAAAAAAAAAAATATATATCAGTTTATGAAAACTATTTCGTCAGATATATTATATCATGATATCTTTGCGTGGAACTGCTTCAGCTTGATCTTAAAGCCGTATGTTTGGAAAAAAGGGCGAGGTGGAGAAAAAGCTAGAGAATGGAAAAATGCTAATTTCAACAAAAGTGGCTGGAAGACGAGGAATTCGGGACATGGCTGCAAACTGTTGACGGTAAAGATGACCAAGGATTTCGCAGTGACTTTTTTATATATATATATATATATTTATATATCTCTTTATATAAATGACTTGGGTAAGGACCTGAAGACAGCAAAAGTGCATCTTTATGCAGATGACACTATTTTGTACACCACAGCTTCATCAGTGAATGCTGCATTTGCACAATTGCAGTCTGCTTTTAATCATTTACAAACATTTCTTATTGAATTAAAGTTGGTACTGAATGCTAAAAAAAACTAAAACAATGACATTCACACATTCACGATCCTCACCTAACATTAGTGTTTCAACACAAGATGGCACTAAAATAGAAGGAGTATCATCTTACAAGTATTTAGGCATCTGGTTGGATGATAAGATGTCCTTTGGTGTCCATATTGAGAGCCTCTGTAAGAAACTTAGACCAAAGTTGGGTTTTTTCTTTAGAATGAGGAAGTGCTTTCCCTATCTTGCGAGGAAAAGGCTAGTTCAGAGCACATTCCTGTCAGTGCTTGACTATGGGGATACACTGTATATTCACTCCAGTTTATTCTTACTTAAAAAACTGGATGTACTGTACCACTCTGCCTTACGTTTTATCACAGGTGCATCAGCTAGGACTCACCACTGCACTCTCTATGAAACTGTACAGTGGTCTTCTCTTTCCATGAGGAGAAAAATTCATGTACTGACTTTTATTGCCAAAGCCCTTATGGGTAAACTACCTTTATACATTTTTAATTTACTTTCCGTTCAAGATAGTACTTACAGGACTAGGTCATCAGAAAAAATACTTTTACATACTCCATTTACTAGAACTGAACTAGGAAAAACAGCATTTTCATCATTTGCACCTAAAGTATGGAATGAACTTCAAGCCACTTTAAATCTTGAAGTACTTCCATCCATAAATTCTTTTAAAGACCTGTTAAAATCATCATTAACTGACAGATGCAACTGTTGTTGATTGGATGCCTTGTTTGCTGTTTGCTTTTTGGTTGTATGTGTATGCCCAATCTTGTTGTGTTTAATTTTGCCTAGATGATATGTAGCTGTGGTTGTCTTGTCTCCTGTAGTTTTATGTTAATGTAACTTTTTAAGCCGCCTTCTTGGCCAGGACTCCCTGGAAGAAGAGTTACTTTAACTCAATGGGACTTTCCTGGTTAAATAAAGGTTAAATAAAATAAAAAAAATAAAAAAAATAAAAAATATATATATATATACGGGACTCGATGTTAACAATGATAGCAAACAAAAATTATTTATCACTCAAAATTACATTAAAATCACCAACATTCGATGAAAACGACCCAGAAGCGTTGACGGCGCCATTTTTGTTGTTTTTTACACATTCTCCTGTGATTTGAAAAAGCCGGTTGATTTCCCGCCAGATGGCGTGATTTTTGTCCACCTAGCGATAATTTTGATGTAGTTACCAAAATGACAAACAAGCTAGAAAGCGCTATCATAAGGCAGTCTTCTGTACAGTGATGCAGGTCATACATTATAAAATATTCATAATTTCTTTCTCTCAGACATTGGAGAGGTGCATTTAAATGTTATAGAGCTAAGCATGTTAGATTGGTGACCTGTTATGTTATTATTATTGTCTTGTTGCTGCATTTATTTTGTCAGGGAAAACTAATCCTGAGTCAGTTAAAAGTCAGGGAATTCTGAAATGATGTCAGACTGTGGAAACCCTGAATAAAATAACTATGTATAATGATTCTCTAGAAAAGTCACATTATATTAATAGTATTATCTTGGGCTGCAACTAACAATTATTTTAAAAATCGATGAATCGGCCGATAATTTTTTCGATTAATCGATGAATCGGACAAAAAATATTTTTTATATTAACCTCTTTATTCCAAAATGAACATTTTAGACAGAACAAACAAGCACACAAGTACAGGTTGCTCATTAACTGTACTGGTGCAATATGAAAAATAAATATTTGTGTTAAAACTATGCAAACTTAAATGAGAAATGTAGCTGTACATCCACAAAATATAGGCTACTTTGTTTCATAAAGCGCAAAATAAGACATTTTTGTTTTTAAAAGCCCCTAAGGGGTTCAAACAATAGGCCCCCCCATTTCACCAAATGAGTTTTTTTTAGACTAGAAGAGTTCTGCCTTTTAAGACAGGAAAGTATAGCAGTTAAAGTTGCTACTTGAGAAAATACTGAACCATAGAGATAAAAATAGCCCTGTGATTCAAATTATAAATTGTATTTGGAATAAAAATGAGAGAACTAGGGGTGCTAAAAAACACATCCTCCAAAGACAGATATTTACATGGGAATGTGGCAGATAATTAATTGACATATTACTGATCTTGCTGGATTTTATTCTGCTTTACTTCCATAAATTGCAGGATCATCTTTACTTTATCTTTGCCAGAAGATTTAAACTTTAAAAGCCTTGCCCTCATAATTTGCAAGTTAATTTATTTATAAAGTAAATATAAACGCTGCTTAAGCTAATTCAAATGAAATTAAAAGTAAAATAAGTAGCCAACCTTATCACTGTCTGTAACCTACTAACACGGTAAGGAAAGCATCAGATGAGCTACCTGAGAAACTAACGTTACGTTTCCCCACTTTAAAACCAAACAAACATGGCCGCTCACCCTGCTGATCAGCTCTCTTCACTGCCATCGAGGCTCCAACGTGTTTCCTTTTCAGGTGCTGCGTCATAACAGTGGTGGTTCGGTGCCATGTTCATTTGTTTTTACTGAAGTTGCATGTTAAGACTTTTTTTCGCTTTACAAAGCGCAGGCTATTGTAATTATTGTGATCAATCCCGGCGCATGCGCGCTTCATTTGCAGTCTGGATTCTGAGGGTAAACATCCTTCGGCTCTGACTGCAGTGCTGTCAGAGTAAGAGTCTCCAAAAGCCGCCAGTGACACTGTAAAAAGTCGCCAGATTTGTCGCTAGTCGCTTTTTTGAAAAATAGTCGCTGGAGGGGTCTGAAAATTCGCTAAATATAGCGACAAAGTCGCTGAGTTGGCAACACTGCACCTGCAGCGCTGGCTCGCTCTGCTGTATTTTTTTCTTCTTCCTCCGCTTCAGTCAAGTGGCAGCGTTGACGGCGGCGGCGGATGACGCATTAATCGCGCGACACAACTAATCGATGATGAAATTCGTTACCAACGCTTTTAAAAGTCAATTTTTATCAATTTTATCAATTCGTTGTTGCAGCCCTAGTATTATCTTGTATCAACATACCGTGACTCTAAAATAAAAGTTATTCATTTGTAACATTGACTTCTGTCTTGTAATTTATCTCAAGTTTTTAACCTGTCAAGCTTTTTTTAGATTTTTAACATTACAATTTATATTTTCCAAGCACACAACAGTTTAAAGCAAAGTTTATTTTGAAAAGAATGAGCAGGAAGGATTGAAAAGCATGTTAACACGGTAATGTAGGTTGGAGTTCATTATCTGACGCATGCAGATACACACCAGGAACCTGGAAACTTAAAAAATACTGAATTACAAAAAACATTTAAAAAACATATATATATATGAGAGTAATATGTAGAATTATTTCTAAGAGCATTAAAAGAGCATTCAATCTGAGTAACTAATTCCTGTATCAACCCTTTTAAGGCCTTACCTATCAATAGATATACAATCAAGAGATACAATCTCATAATTAGGAGATCTTTTTCTATATATTTGGTTATGATTACTTGAGCCAGTAATGAAACATCTCTTAGAAAACTGGTCTTCATGATTACTTCTTAAGAATCTCTGCATCTCTTCCTCTGAACGGTTCTCTGTACCGAGGTCTGTCCTGATCCGCGTCGGAGCTCCGCTCCTGTTTTTCACCTTAACAACAAAGTACGCAGCTATAACCCTGGATTACTACTACTGCAGTAAGCATGCAGCCTTAAGCTGCGTTCACAACGAACGCAGCAGGAGCAGCAAAGTCGCATCTGCTGCTTCCTTTTTGACGCATGTAGCAGTTTAGTTCTGACGCGCGGCTGAAGCAGCTTTGCTGCTCTAGCTGCGCGGGGGAAAAGTGGGTGTGATGCGCGTTAGGCGGAGCTACTCTATCCTTAAATGCTCCCGACGAGCTGCGCCTGCTGTTCAAAACGCGCTGTGGGACGTTTTGCTGCGCCTTGACGCGCATCAACCATTGACTTTGCATGTAAACTCGCTGCTCCTGTTGTGTTCGGTGTGAACGCCGCCTTATGACCATACGCCAAAATCCATCAACAGCTCCATTAATACAGATTCTGTTTGGTTTTAGGTTTTCATGTGAACCGATATCCTGCATGGAGTTGGGACCTGGTCCAACTTCTTCTCGTAATTATGAGGAAAGATCTCATTATTACGAGAAACTGATCTCGTAATTATGATGTTATATCTCGTAATTATAGCTTATTATATTTCATAAGCTGTCAGATTTTTTTTCTATGAATGCGAATGAATGTAAATTTCTTTTGAATTTCAATCTTCTAAGAAGCTTTATTTGCTTCCAGCAATAATTTCTCCCCATAAAGCTGCATCTTTCTGCTGTTTTTGATGGTTGATGCTTTTATGTTGTTGTTGTTTTTCCTTCTCAGGAGTTTGAGGTGCAGCAGAGACGTTCCTGCCTCAGCAAAGCAGAGGCCATGCTCAAGAAGCTACAGCCCCAGTTTGACCTCTTTCTCAAGGTTTTTCCCATTTAAATGTCAGCTTTGTAAAAGAAAAACATGAATTAATAACTCAAACCAAGTTGCTACCTTTACTGTGAGATTAATCCTGATTAATTTATATGATTTTTTTTAATTCTGTTAAAAATGAATAAAAAAGTTCAATAAAATGATGGATAACTTTACTTTCTTCTTGGATCTTGTGCTTCCATATTTAATCCTTTCAACCACCTCAGCTGCCTTAAAGTCCCAGTGTGTCAGATTTACTGCCATCTAGTGGCATGTGGAAGGATTTCCAAACAGCTGCGACGCTCGTTCTGAGCTTCCCTGTTATCGGTGTCATCAGAGGAGGAGAGACAGAAACATCCTTCTGTTTAATGTTGATGCCAGGAAGTTAGAAGCTGAGAGATTTTCTCTTCTTTCATATTTATTTATTTCAGCTGATCTGATGGTGAAGATTCTCAGTCATCCAGGTCATAATCATTAAATAAAAGTTAAAAACAATCGACTGGACTTTGTTTCCAAGTTTGAAGACGTTTCTCTTCCATCCAGGAAGATTTTTCAATTCAAAATGTCAGAAATAGCTTAAATAAATAAATAAAGCCTCAAACTCAACACTGTTTCTGACATTTTTAATTCCACAGTTCATGAAGCTTCATGAGAACATTTCACCTACTGGTGGAGTGCAGAACTACACTTAGTGATAGAATTGCAATTGTTTTTCCTTTTTTTCCCATTCAAGTTCCTTTTGAGATTGTTGATTATTGGTGTTTAAAATACATTTTTGTTTTGTAATTTCTTTAGTGTAAAGTGTCTTAGAAGAGAAAAATCATTTAAGGTTCACAGTTTTTCTGCCATTTTAGTGAAAAAAGCTCAAGCAGGAAGTGAAAATGTTTGTTCAAATTTGGCAATGATGAGCAAATGGAAAGCTGTTAACTGAAAGCTCCACATTTTTGGTTTTAAATCGGGTTGGAAGTTATGTGGCTGTGTGTTTCCTGGACGGGGCCGCCTGTGGAGCTGGTTGACAGTTGCCTTTTGTATCTATGCTTCTTTTTCTATGTCTGCTTCTGTCTCCTTGAACCCCAGTGGGCCTCAGCAGATGGCCGCTCACACTGAGCCTGGTTCTGCTGGAGGTTTCTTCCTGTTAAAAGGGAGTTTTTCCTCCCCACTGTCGCTACAAGCATGCTTAGTGTGAGGGATTGCTGAAGAGTCAATGAGTCGATGCAATCAGCTGGTTTTCCTTAGATAGAAAACTTTGAATCAATCTGACTGGATGATCTGGTGAACTGGAAAGTGACCTGAGATGACATGATGGGAATTGGAGCTATAGAAATAAACTGAATAGAATTGAGAATAAAAGCAACTCCTTCTGTTTCAGGGAACCTGCCCATTCGAATGACCGCCTCTGAAGAACAGCTTTGGACCCAGTGAGCCACGGGACGCGAGCCCCACCCTAACAGAACCACGGCGTTCAGACTGTCGTCCCTCCCATATGCATTCCACTCAATAAAATACTGTCTCCATTTGGTACGTTTTTTATTTTTAATCAGGTCTGATCGGCGGCTGATCGATCAGACCTGATTTTCTTTATTCTGCCATACTTGGATGTGTGACGGTGGTCCAAGCTGTAAACTAGTTTACACGTTTTTATTTATTTGCTTCTATTCATTTTACAAATGAGTTTTGTAAACTGGAATAAAAAAATAAAAAAATTAAATTTAGACATAAAAGTCCGCTCACATTCTCAATTCAAACTTCAGATAAATACTTTAAATATGAAATTATCCTGTTCAATAAATGATCAGTGTTTTTAATCCAGAGTACTTTTCATGTGAATGTGCTTTACTGGAGGCATCCATGTTTGTCAAAGAACACTACTGCCACCTACTGGTTAGTGACGTCACGGTGCGGTATCGGCTGTTGATCAAGTCTTTTGGAAAGTAAACTTGTATTAGTGACGCAAGCAGCAACTTCTAAATAGAGGAGCTATGGGCTCGTTCACTCTCGCACATTTAATAGACTTTCAATCTGAAAAAACTCACACAGTGAGAAAATGTACTTATTTATATCCTTAACTCACTAAAGAATGCTAATGCACACCTTTTAAAAATGTTGACTTTTCTGAGACAATTTTGATGCTTTTTACATATTTTCTTTTTAACCCTTTAAAGCCCGATCCAAGAATAAAACAAAACAAAAAATTACTTTTTTTTTGGTTTGAATTCCTTATTTGCCCTTTTAAAAATATATGTAAAAAGAAAAAACAGAAATACATTTTTGATATTAATAATTTATTACTATGCGATAAGTCAAGATTATTTTTTGTGTCGTCTTCTACTGGCTGTTATCAGGTATATCTGATTGTGTACAATAGGATTTTGAGCAAAGTTTTTAACATTAAATTATGCAAAAGGTGTCAGACGCAAAACATTTCAGAAACCGTATGTATCAAATATGATACATTTGGCATTAAAGGGTTAATTCAGATAAGTGGCAGAAACGTTCCTATTCCTTTTAGGCTCCAAAATGTTTGATAATTTTAATGATAAACCGCAAAACATGAGACATTTTTGTGGGAAATGCATCATGTTGACAGATTTTAAACACAGTTTAGTCAGAAAGTTAGAAACAACCCAGTATCGGTCACATGGATGTCTTTAACTGTGCACCGATGCATCGGGGTTACTGGACCCGTCTCTACTTTTCAATTTGGATTTCAAATTTATTTAAATGTTTAACTGGAAATTAGGGATGCACGATATTGGGATTTTGGCCGATATCCGATATGCCGATATTTTAAAACTCATGTAGCCGATATCGATACCGATGTTAAAGCTGGACAAAAATAAGTAGTCATTGAAAATAGCAGTTTTGTTATCCATTTCTGACACTTTGAAAAATAATATACTCAAATATATTTTCATATGCTGATATCAAATAGATTTTTAAAAACGCGGTATCGATCTATTTTACTTTCAAAATCTGGTGAAATTTCATCGTTCTGTTACAAACTCTCGTGATATTTTGCAAATTCTTGTGAGATTTTGTTAGTAAAATAGATCGATACCGCGTCAATATATCAACATATAAAAATATGGCAACATTTTGCGAATTTTCGGGGGATTTCGTAGCATAACGATGACATATAGCAATATTTCATTAGTAAAAGAGATTGATATGGTGTTTTTAAATGGCAATATATCAGCATATGAAGATATTGGGATATTTTAATGGATCAATATTTTTTCCCTCGTCTTTAGAAGTTTTTAAGTCTGTAAAAAAGAAGTTTTTGAGGAAGAAGTATTTTTTTTTTTTTAGACTTTAGAAACTCAGAAGCTGATCAAATATCGGGTTAAATATCGGTGGGGTGGCCGATGTCCGATATTCAGTTTTAAGGCCGATACCGATAGGGGGCCGATTATATCGTGGAAATGTTTTCTTTTTAAATGACTCTCCTGGTCCTCCATATGTAACACCTGACAGTGTAAATAAAATAAATCTGTAAATATCTGCTGCTGAATCTTTAGTTTAATCTTAACTGAAAAAAAAAACTAGAACAAATGTGGTTCGTTTTTCAGTTTTTTTTTTTTTATTTAGAACAACACAAATGTTTACGCATTGTTTCTGTGTGATATAGTACATTTCAAATTAAATTATTTCAAAACGGTATATTGAAACATTAAATATAGGTAACATGAAAGAAGGGCATGATCAGCGTGGGTTGTGCGCTTTTATTTTTCCTTACCTACGTTCAGATCCGACTGTAGTTTAAAACAATGCATTTACTGACATTTTATAAAATGTTTTATGGTATAAAAAAAAAAGATAGCAGATCATATTTTTTTATTATCTTTTTTTGCACAAGGAGTTAAAAAAAGAAGTTATTTGTGGCTTTAACTCTGGCCTAATAGGAGCGGGTTGACTGGGTGGTTTTTGCGACTGAAAGGAAACGTTTCTAGTGTTGATCCAGAGCGGTGGAGCTGCGTCCAGGTCTGGACTAAAACAGACTAAAACCATGAAAAAATCTGAGGTATAAGTTGTCTTCTTAAGAAATGGATCCAACACTACATTACTGCATAAAATAACAAAGAGTTTATCCATTTTGGGAATTAAATTCCTTCAAAATGGACCATGTAAAAAGAGACAAAAGGTAACAATATTCCAAAATAAATTTTCTCAGCCGTCCAAATGCTCCGACGGGCGCGATGCGTGACGCATCGGGCTGCGTTGTCCTCTTGGCTGTGATTTCATTAACTTTAAAAACAAAAGTGAACAAACATCCAATGTACACGTACATACAATCTAGTGAAATCTAGAAAAGGGTCCCCTGTGGCCTCAGGAGGCGGCGTGTGCGGTCGACAAGGAGCTGTCTTGATCAGTCTTGAGGATCGGAGCGTTCTCGGACAACGAGGTGACTTCGGCCATGCCGAGCCCGCTGTTGGGGACCCCGGTGTTCATAATGTGTCTCTGTAAATGTTTGATCCAGTCCTCCTGGACAGACAGTGGACCCTGGAAGACGAGGTCACAGAACCTTTGAAGAGAAAACGAGGAAGTGAGTTTTTCTTCCCCCAGAACTAAAGCAGCTGAAGAGCAGAGAGAGAGTTGCGTGTTAAACGTGCCTGCAGGTGAGTCTGTACATTTCCTCTGGACTCTGGGCTAACGGCAGTGTCTTCTTCTTCAAACCGGGCCTCGAACGCGTCCTCACTGCTTTGCACTGAATGGCTGGAAGATGAAAACGGCAGTTAGACTCACAGGGGGACGATCGGGCTCAGCCTCGCTCCACCAGAACGCCGTAATAATCACTGCAATGTGGTTCAGTTTTATGGAAGACCAGGAGAGGCAGTGGAAAAAAATATTTCAAGTTTTAACGTTTAAATGGTGGATTTAGAAATCTCATTTTAAAAGGACTTTCATAATTGCACATTTAAATGAAAATTACTGAAGCAATATTTTAAGTTATATTTATTCAAATATTGCAAACTGCAGTTTGAAAATTTATTTTCAAATCCCATTTCTAAATAGATTTAAAGAACATTATTTATAAATCTGATAAGTTTCCTTATCAAATATTTAACAGGGTAATTGCTCTTTCCATTTTAAATCCTTTTTGCGCTTTCATGGTTTTGTTTACATCTTTACTTTTCCCAAAAAGGGTTTCCCTTTTCCATTTAGCCTTTAATATGCTGTTACTAAACTGTTACTAAACCGTTAATAAACGGTTACTAAACCGTTAATAAACATTTCTGAAATAATAAAAATAATAATACATTTTATTTCAAAGGCGCATTTCTGGACACTCAAAGTCAACGTACAAAGGATAAAAACACAAACTGTTAAACAGTTAATAGACATTAATAAACTGTTAATAGACTGTTACTAAACCGTTAATAAACTGTTACTAAACGTTAATAAATATTACTGAAATAATACATTTTATTTCAAAGGCACCTTTCTGGACACTCAAGGTCAACATACAAAAGACAAAAACACAAACTGTTAATAATCTGTTAATAAACATTAATAAACTGTTAATTAGCCGTTGCTAATCTATTAATATGCTGCTACTAAACCAGTAAACTGGTTACAGGCTTCAGCTAAACCATTATTAAATTGACACTAAACTGTTGAAAAACTGTTAATGAGCTGAAACTAAAAAGTTAAAACATTTCTACTAAACCATTAATAAGCAGGTTATAAAATATTTATACGCTGTAGCTAAACTGCTAACAGTATGATGCTAAATCATTAATAATTTGAAACGAAACCATTGATTAAAAAGCAGCAGCTAAACTGGTAATAAGCTCCAGAGAAGGTTAACGAATAAAAAAGGATTTGAAAAATGCAAAGTTAAATGGGAAATTAACTTTTTTTTTTTTTTCTCCATTTAGAAATAGGATTAAATAATCCTCACATTGTAGGATTTCATAATGGATAAATGTGATTAATTTTATTTATAATGTGCAATAAAAAAAGAAGTCTTTTTTTTAATTGGATTTCTAAATCTATGATTCAGACGTTGTATTTCTTTTCCGCTGGCCCTCCTGGGCCTCCATACATACAGTACATCCATGCTTTCTCAGGCAAACATTCATTGTCAGACATCTCTGTCTGGATATTCTCAGCTCTGAGTTGATCGATGGTCTTGCGGCGGCCGCGATCCAGGAAGGTGAGTGGCGTGACTCACTCATCTGTACGCCGCTGCGGATAAATACACGGTTTGCAGCACAAAATGAAAGTTTAAACATCTGTCTGCAGAACAAAGCAGCACCAGAAAGCTTTCAATCATCAGAAGGTCCGTCCTCCGTTAAATCTGTGCGGTGCCTCTAACCGTTGATTCGGACCTCTAAAGTACGCAGATTAACGCCCAACGACAAAACAGGCGTCAGAGAGATTAAATATCTAGATATGCTTTTACTGCAGTAGAGTGAAAAAGTTCTTCAGGGAACTAGAGAGAGCAGCCGGTTAATAAAGATGCAGCTCAGGCATCATTTAAAAGTTAATTTATTTGCACTGAGCGGGTCTAGAATC